GGAAGCCTGCTTCTCCCTCTCCCACTCCCCCTGCTTGTGTTCCCTCTCTTGCTGTGTCTCTATCAAATAAATGAATAAAATCTTAAAAAAAAAAAAGAATGATGGTAGAATAGAGGCATTTTCACACAAACAAAAATTGAAAGACTTCAACAGAATAAACCCACACTAAAGGAAATTCTAAAAGACATATTATAAACTAGAGAAAACTGATCTCAGAAGGGAAATCTAGGATGAAAAAAGAAATGAAGAACAAAGTGGTAAATACAAAGATAAATTTAGATGAACATTGACTGTATAAGAACAATTTCATGTGGGTTTAAAAATATAGAGAGAATTAAAATCTGTAATAATAATATTTACATCAGGAGAGACTGAAAGGAGTAAAGTACTTTAAAGTCTTTAAATTATCCAAGACAAGAGTTAAGGTATTGATTAATTTTTCAATTATATAAGTTAAGGGCACATATTGTAGTTTGGGGAATAATAATAATAAAAGTATTGAAACAGTGTATAACTTATAAATAAACCAGTAGAGAGAAAAAAATGGATGAATAAAAACATAATAAATCCAAAAGAGGGCAAGAAAAGTAAGAAAAAGAAACAAGGAAGAGCCAGCCAGTACAAAAAGTCAAGAACAAAGGAAGTCAGAATATTCACTCTTCAATCAGAAAGGCCTCACAGGTCACTAAGCACCCAGGGCAGCCCCCAACAAAAGCAGAGTTAGTTGACCCTATAGGGCCCCAGGGCTGAGACATCTCCATCTTCTCCCAAATCTCATCACTTCTAGGTTTCTCTGATTAGTGTGGAGAAAAATATTCCCTGAACAAAATATTTACCATCTTCCTGGTGATTGTCACTTGGGATCTCCCTTCTTGCCACCTCCTGCAAGGAAAAAAAGTTTGAATGTTTAGAAAAAGAGAGTTGATGGGTATCCAGATGTGACCTTACCAGACATTTCCTTTAAAACAAATACTAAGATATTTTAAAATAGTAATTGAGATAGTTTCTAAGTTACCTAAAGAGAATATCCAAAAACAAAGGAATCAACTAAATACGAATCTTTTTTTTTTTTTAAGATTTTATTTATTTGACAGAGAGAGACACAGCGAGAGAGGGAACACAAGCAGGGGGGAGTGGGAGAGGGAGAAGTAGGCTTCCTGCTGAGCAGGGAGCCCAACGCCAGGCTCAATCCCAGGACCCCGGGACCATGACCTAAGCCGAAGGCAGACGCTTAACAACTGAGCTTCCCAGGCGCCCCCTAATCTGTCTTTTTATAAAATGAAGGTATTGTAAACTCAAACTGAAAAAAAAATCTTACTAACTTTTTACTAGTACAGTGTTGATAATCCAAATGTGGATTAATCAGAGCCCTTGATTCTTTTTTGTTTTTAAGATTTTATTTGTTTATTTGAGAGAGAGAGCCCAAGAGGGGGTAGGGTCAGAGGGAGAAGCAGACTCCCTGCTGAGCAGGGAGCCTGACATGGGACTTGATCCCGGGACTCCGGGATCATGACCTGAGCGGAAGGCAGTTGCTTAACCAACTGAGCCACCCAGGCACCCTGATTCTTTTTTTTCTCTTTCTAGCTATTTTCAGCAATTTCATTGCTCATAATTTATCAAAGAAAATGCAGACAAAAGGAGAAGTTGAATATAATAGTTCTGCTTCTTGCATCATACTCACTCATACAAATGAGTCTTATATAATGGTTGTATCCCCCTCCCACCAATTTTTTCACTAAGAACTTACTCTCTTTTTTTTTTTTTAGATATTTATTTATTTATTTGTCAGAGATAGAGAAAGAGAGAGCACAAGCAGGGCAAGCAGCAGGCAGAGGGAGCAGCAGGCTCCCCACTGAGCAAGGAGCCTGATGAGTGACTTAATCCCAGGACCCTGGGATCAAGACATGAGCCAAAGGTAGATGCTTAACTGACTGAGCGTTAGTTACTGAGTGTCCCTAAAAACTCATTCTTAATTCTTGCCTCATCTTGCACAATCTCTACCTCCCCAATGCCCACAACTTCTATGCCATCTTCACCCCTTAACTTTTCTTCTTTTATGTTCCAATGAAGAGGCAGCTTTGGGAAAGCCACAGTTGAGATGTTAAGATTCAGTAATTAAAAGTCAGAGGTAGGGGCGCCTGGGTGGCTCAGTAGGTTGAACCTCCGGCTCTTGGTTTTGGCTTAGATCATGATCTCAGGGTCCTGCATGGGGCTCCGAGTTCAGCAGGGAGTCTGCTTCCTCTCTCTCTCTCCCCACCAGGTCATGCTCTCTTTCTCTCTCAAATAAATAAATAAATCTTAAAAAAAAAAAAAAAGCCAGAGGAGAAAAATGTAAGGAGTAAGTTAACAGGAGATGGAGACACTGGGTAGAGAGGAGAAATTTTAAAACCAGCCACAACCTCTAACTGTTGTATTCCTGTTGAGAGCCAAAATACCTGGCATAAAATGTGCTAAAAGTTGTATGTATAAATATACCACTTTTGATAATGGCCTAGTAGGGGAGAGGGAAAAGGGAGATTGAAATTAATGGAGGAGGTCCTCTGCATCCTGTCTCCCCTTCTTTCCTTTTAAAGGGTCTAAAATGCCTCATCAAACAAGTCCTCCTAGACCTTCATAAATAATTGAAAGTCCAATGAATTGTTAGTATTAATCACTGACTAGTCAACAGATCAACAGGAAAGTGAATACATTACCTGTGTTCCCAGTGGGAAAGTGTCTAATTTCTGATCTGGTATACCATTGCCCTGGGTTGCAGAAGTACTCATTAGGGAATCCTTTATTTCCCGGTTGGGGAAGGGAATAAAAAGTCCTTTGTTTGAGTCTGTGTTAAAAGAAAAGGAATACAATGAAGCACTGACCAGACTTCAAAGGCAACATGTCTTATGGAAAGATACTGGAAGGGAAGTCACAAGATTGAGAGCTAGTTCTGGTGCCACCAGTTGGAAACCATGTGAACTTGGGCAAACTGCTTAACCTCTTTAATTTTCTCCATTGTAAAACAGTGATGATAAAATCTAAACTACCTATCTCTCAGGGTTGAGGTAAGGTTAAAACAAGGTAATCGGGGGTGTTTGGCTGGCTCAGTCAGTGGAGCGTGCAACTCTTGATCTTGGGTTGTGAGTTCGAGCCCCACACTGGGTATAGAGATTTAAAAATAAAATCTTAAAAACAAACAAACAAACAAAACCATATCCTAGTCCTGGCCACCCTAGAAATGTTATCAAAAAGAGCCAGTTAGGATTTTTATTAGATTGGAATGCTTATAGAGAAGTTTTTGGGGGCGCCTGGGTGGCTCAGATGGTTAAGCGTCTGCCTTCGGCCCAGGTCACGATCCCAGCATCCTGGCATTGAGCCCCACATGGGGCTCCCTGCTTGGTGGGGAGCCTGCTTCTCCCTCTCCCTCTAACGTTCCCCCTGCTTGTGCTCTCTCGCCCTGTCAAATAAATAAATAAAATCTTTAAAAAAAAGAGAGAGAGAAGTTTTTGCATATTCTTTTTTTTTTAAAGATTTATTTATTTTAGAGAGACAGAGAGAATGTGCACAGGTGAGGAGGGGGTGGGACAGAGGGAGAGGGAGAAAGAATCTCAAGCAGACTCCACACTGAGCATGGAGCCTGATATGGGGCTCCATCTCGACCGAAATCATGACCTGAGCCAAAACCAAGTGTCAGTCGCTCAACTGACTGAGCCACCCAGGCGCCCCTGCACATTCTTGATCAATACTTATTAATTGTACAATTCTGGGACCTGGAGTCTTCTGGGGGATCTTGGATGAAAATAAGAGTTTCTTGTTTAGGGAGGTTTGTTCCCCTAGCAGGATTATGTAAGAATTAAGATAGTTTCAAAAACTTGGGCCTTAGTCAAACAATGCGCTCTTCTGCTAGTTCTCATCTGTAGGCTCTGGCAACAGAAAGCTGCTGTAAGCCAAGGCAACTGAGAATACACAGTGAATAAAGCCAGGTTTTTGAAAATCCAGCCCCTCAGTCCATTTGGGACTCTAAAATGCTCCCTACTTGGGCGCCTGGGTGGCTCAGTCGTTAAGCGTCTGCCTTCGGCTCTGGTCATGATCCCAGGGTCCTGGGATTGAGCCCCACATCGGGCTCCCTGCTTGGCAGGAAGCCTGCTTCTCCCTCTCCCACTCCCCCTGCTTGTGTTCCTGCTCTCGCTATCTCTCTCTCTGTCAAAGAAATAAATAAAATCTTTAAAAATAAAATAAAATAAAATGCTCCCTACTTCTGAGTTGCCTCCTGGGACTGAAATTTCTTGTTACTTCAATATAAAATGCTCTTTCACCATTGTATTTGATAGAACTACTTTTAAGCTCTCAAAGTTTATGCTCTTTGGCTCCTATTGCACTAGTAACACATAAAAAAACCAAAACAAAACAAAGTAAAGCAGAAATTACTGGTCTTAACCTGATTCTAAGTAGAAAATGAAAATAGTAAGTAAGCTGCCCCTGGCAACCATCAATATACTTTCTCTATCTATGGACTTTCCTATTCCGGACATTTCATATAAATGGAATAACATGATATTGGCTTTTTGTGTCTGGCTCCTATCACTAAGCATGATGTTTTCAAGATATACATTGTAGATGTATCAGTACTTCATTCTTTTTTTATGGATATACCATATTTTGTTTATCCATTCATCAGATGATGGACTTTTGGGCTGCTATAGATAATGCTGCTTTCATTCCTGTACAAGGTTGATTGTGATGAATTTTTCTTTGCTATTTTATTTTTTTAAAGATTGTATTTTAAGTAATCTCTATACCCAACATGGGGCTTGAACTCACAACCCTGAGACCAAGAGTCACATACTCTACCAATTGAGCCAGCCAGGTGCTGCCCCTCTTTACTGTTTTAAAATAAAATACCTATTAGATCAATATATTTTAGGTGCAATTCTACTAAAAGGTAAAAGGAACTGGCTAAAAGAGTGAGCAGGACCCCTTTCAACTCACAGAGTATATATGCGCTATTTGCATGTAAATTATCTTTAGTAAGGCACTCATTGTTCTCCAATAATCTGACCTTCTACCCAACATAAACCTTCTATCCAAACCCCATGATCACTCAACTGTCTATAACCTGCTATACTCATTACCACTTTTACACAGCTATTCACACCAATCCCACCAACCTCTCAGGCTATCCCAGAGTTCCACAGCCTTTAATGGCTGAGGACTTTGTTTCCACACCTGCCACAAAATCTTTTCAGGTATGCTCTTAGCACAGTCTGAGCTTCTATAGCATGTGCCCATCCACATCAGTGTTTCTCAAACTCAATACTCTCACAAACTCTGAGAATATGAATCCAGTTTGAGAAACTTCAATTTAAGAAGCTCAGTATATAAAAAGATATTTTAAAAAGCAGATTGTATTGGGTGACAGTTTGGCAGTTTCTTATAAAATTAAACACTTGGTATTTGCCCAAAGGAGTTGAAAACTTATGTCCACACAAACACTGCACATGGATGTTTATAGCAGCTTTTTTCAAAATTGCCAAAACTTAGAAGCAACCAAGATGTCCTTCAGTAGGTGAATGGATAAATAAAGTGTGGTACACCCAGACAACAGAATATTATTCAGCACTAGAAAGAAAGGAGCTATCAAACCATGAAAAGACATAAAGGAACCTTAAATGGATATTACTAAGTAAAGAAGCTAATCTAAAAAGGCTACATACTTAATGATTCCAACTATATGCCATTCTGGAAAAGGCAAAACTATGGAGACAGGGGAAGATGGCAGAGTAAGCAGCCCCTGCATCTGTCCTCCACCAAGGCAACAATTACACTGGCAGAATCTGTCTGATGTAACTATTTTTGGAATTCTGGAGTCTACTGAAGGCTTGCAATTTCCAGGGGAAGATCTGGAAGCTAAATTGAAGTTAACTTCAGTCAATTTTAGCTCTTGGCAGTTCAGTAACAGCTACCCATGTCCCACCCCTCGTGCAAAAGAATGAAGGTACACCCTTACCTAGTCATCGCTTCCTCCCCTCTAGCCTGGCAACCACTGATCTTTTTGCTGTCTCCATAGTTTTGGGGTTTTTCCCAATCACTTTTGTTGTGGGTAATACACATAACACAAAATTTACCATCTTAACCATTTTTAAGTGTACAGTTCAGTGGTATTAAATGCATTCATAATGTGCAACCATCGCCATCATCATCTCCAGAACTCTTTCATCTTATAAAACTGAAACTATATCCATTAAATGATAACTCCCTACTTCCCCCTCCCCGTAGCTCCCGGCAACCACCATTCTATTTTCTGTCTCTGTGATTTTGCTTGCTTTAAGTACCTCATGTAAGTGGGATCATATAGTGCTTGTCTTTTTGTGACTGGCTAATTTTGCTTAGCATAATGTCCTTAAGGTTCATCCATGTTGTAGCATATGTCAGAATTTCCTTCCTTTTTAAGGCTGAATAATACTCCATTGTTTGTGTATATCACATTTTGCTTATTCATTCATCTGTTGACAGACACTTGGATTGCTTCCATGTTTTAGCTATTGTGAATAATGCTGCTATGAACATGGGTATACAAACACCTCTTCAAGATCCTGCTTTCACTTCTTTGGGAATAGGGGTGCCTGGGTGGCTCAGTCGTTAAGTGTCTGCCTTCGGCTCAGGTCATGATCCCAGGGTCCTGGGATCGAGCCCCACATTGGGCTCCCTGCTCCGCGGGAAGACTGCTTCTCCCTCTCCTATTCCCCCTGCCTGTGTTCCCTCTCTCGCTGTGTCTCTCTCTGTCAAATAAATAAATAAAATCTTTAAAAAAAGGGGGGGGAATAGGCCCTAAAGTGGAATCACTGCATCATACGGTAATTTTATTTTTAATTTTTTCAGGAACTGCCATACTGTTGTCCATGGCATCTGTACCATTTTATATTCCCACCAAACAATTGGACCAGCAGTTCCAATTCTCCACATCCTTGCCAACATGTGTTATTTTCTAGGCTTTTGATAGTAGCCATGCTAATGGGTATCATTCTAAATGATTGGTGGAAAAGCACTGTTTGGAACAACTGAGCTAGTGGGAACTGTTCTCCAGAAAGCTTTCTCCTAGACTGTGGCACAACCATTAACATGGCATAACCACTTTAGTCATATTGGATTACCAACAGTGCTTACAGGCAACACTCCCCAGGGGTCTAGCACAAACACAATTTTCAGTAGAAAGCAAAGCTCTTTAACGTTTCAAAGTTGCAACATAAATTTAATATTTAAAAAAAAATCCAGGCAACAGCTGAGCTTCCAAGAACCTTTAGAAATGGGCCCTGTGTCTGGTAGTTTGTTCTCAGTAGAGACTATGCACCTTTTTTAAAAACAGATTTATTTATTTGAGAGAGAGTGGACAGGAGAGTGGGGCGGGGGCAGAGGGAGAGAATCTTCTAGCAGACTCCCTGCTGAGAACCGAGCCCGATGCCCCATGAGATCAGGATCTAAGCCAAAACCAAGAATCCCACACGCTTAATCGACTGAACTACCCAGATGCCTTGAGACTATGCACTTTAAAACATTTTAATTTATGGGGTGAACCTTTATGTGAGCTAATGATGTAATATGACATAAATGAAGTCTAACTCAGCTCATACAAAAAGCAGCAGTCAAATTATACTTCAATGTATCTTCATCATTCTGGAAATGGATATATAAATGTTTTTACCTAGAAAAAACACAAGGCTGTATACCAAATTATTAATTGGGATTCTCTCTAGGGGACAGGCTTATAAGTGATTAAAATGCTGTTCTTCATGTTTTTTAGTATTTTCCAAAATTATTACAATAGAATTTCATTGGGGTGCCTGGGTGGCTCAGTAGATTAAATGCCGACTCTTGGTTTCTGCTCAGTTCATGATCTCAGGGTTGTGAGATCAAGCCCTGCACAGGCTCCACACTCAGCAAGGAGTCTGCTTGAGATTCTCTTTCCTTCTCCGTCCCCCTCTGTCCCTCCCCTGACATGCACACTCTCTAATACATAAATAAAATCTTAAAAAAAACACAATAGAATTTCATCAAATTTTATTTTATTTTTTAAAAGATTTATTTTACAGAGCACATGAGCAGGGAGGGGATGGACAGAGGGAGATTGAGAGAATCCTAAGCAGACTCCCCGCTGTGTTATTTATTTTTTAATTAATTACTTAAGAGACTGCTTGACTGGGGGAGGGGCAGAGGGGGAGAGAGAATTTTTTTTTTTTAAGATTTTACTTATTTATTTGAGAGAGAGAGAGACTGAGCATAAACAGGGGGAGCGGCAGGCAGAGGGAGAGGGAGAATCAGACTCCCCGCCAAGCAGGGAGCCTGACGCTGGACTCAATCCCAGGACCCTGGGATCATGACCTGAGCCAAAGGCAGACGCTCAACCAACTGAGCCACCCAGGTGCTTGGGGAGAGAGAATCTTAAGCAGACTCGCTGCTGATCACAGAGCCCAATGAGTGACTCAAACCCATGACCCCAAGACCACAACCCAAGCTGAAATCAAGAATCAGACACTTAACTGATTGAGCCACCCAGGTACCCCAGAATTTCATCAAATTTTAAATATAAAAAATGCTATTTAAAATGAAATAAAGCAATCCATGCTCCATGACATATGTGCACTGAGATTTCCAAGAAAGAAAAATAAAAGTCATACTTCACTATGGCTTATTTTACCATGAAATCACATAAAAATAACTTGTAATAAGTGTCCACATGGATAGATAAGTAGTAAAGAAAATAACATACTTTATGTTATAAACTGGAAATTCTTTTTTTTTTTTTAAAGATTTTATTTATTTATTTCAGAGAGAGAGAGAACGAGAGATAGAGAGCACGAGAGGGAAGAGGGTCAGAGGGAGAAGCAGACTCCCCGCTGAGCAGGGAGCCCGATGTGGGACTCGATCCTGGGACTCCAGGATCATGACCTGAGCTGAAGGCAGTCGCTTAACCAACTGAGCCACCCAGGCGCCCATAAACTGGAAATTCTTAATGTCTAAACTACATAGTCCATCTATTACAGTTATCGCTGGGATTTCAGGGATTAATTTTTAGAGGTTGCAAATAATTTGGTGTATCCTTCAAAGGGACAGAGGCCTCTATAGAATAGTTTCCTCAAGTAAAAAGTCATCTGATGAGTGCCAATTTAATCCATAAGGGTCCACTGTATGCAATTCCTCTCATGAAAAGCTTTCTCCTCGTCTGTGCCACGATCATTAAATGTGGCATAACCACTTCTAATCCTAGTAGGTTACCAACAGTGCTTACAGGCAACACTCACCAGGAATATAGCACAAACACAAGAGATTCTGCAGCTGCAAAGGTTCAAGGTAGAGAAACCCAGAAGGCCTAGGGTCTGAGCTGCATTGATGCAAATGAGGCATGAGTCTCTGGCTAATGAATCAATCACCTTAACAATCAATGCTCAGGGGCCATGGGGACTGGCAATGCAATTTTCAGAATGTACTAATGATGTAAACTGATGTAAATGAAATTGAATTCTGAGTACAGCTTGTACTTGATGGGTTCTGTACTTGATGGGTTTAGGCCTGCTCAATAAATAGGCGTTTTCTGGCAGTGAGAGAAAGGAGGAAAAACACAGTAAATCTGGTGCTTACTTCAAATCTGCTATTTCTCAACTATTTTGTCTTCATCCTACTCAACATTGGGCACAAAAGCTGAAATAACTAATGTTTTAAGCATTTTGTGATCAAAGCGAGAAAGCTTACCAGTTTCAATTCTGTAATCAACATCGGCACTGACTTTTGATGCACAGCTCTCATCTGTCACACAGTTTTTCATTGTCTTCTCCCTAGAGCTGCCACATAGAATAATTTATTTAAAATTCAAATTTAAAAAAAAGCTCAAAGAAGGTTTCTGAGATCACCAGCAAATGCTATTTAGAAAACATTAATTCATGGTAATCAGATTTTTTTGCAAATGTTCTAGAAAATATTAATTTCACAAATATTTCAGTTAAACCCATTTTTTAAAGCCATAATATTATTACTGGGAACAGTGAGAGAGAAGGACACCATAGTTCAGCCTTTAAATAAGAAAGCCAGGCTCAGTTGGTTGAACGTCTGACTCTTGATTTCAGCTCAGGTCCTGACCTCAGGGTCATGGGATTGAGCCCTGTATAAGGCTCTGGGCTTAGCCGGGAGTCGGCTTGAGATTCTCTCTCCCCCTCTGCCCCTCCCCCTACTCACGCATGTGTGTGCTCTCTCTCTCTTTCTAAATGTCTAAATAAAATCTTAAAAAAAAAAAAAGTATGAAAGCCAGAAAATTCAGGACTTACACACTCTGTTTTCTTGATACAAACTTAGGTCTAAATGATTAAGGGAATAAGATATTTTCTTTTGAATTAAAAAATTCACAGGACACAGAAAGGAAGGTTCTGCTGCCAAGAATTATACTGGGAGCAGCTACAGCCATTAGTTTAAAAAAAAAAAGATGAGAGGTAAATGTTTGCCGTTGATTGATATAGTATAGTAAGATGTAAATATAGTAAGTACAGACTGGAAGTACAGACAGCCTAGACTACGAGCCAGGCACTTTACACCCACCATTTCATTTAATTATAAAAGCTCCCCTATTATCCATTATCTCCATTTTATAGGTTGGGGGAACTCAGATTCAGAAAGACTTAAAAAAATCTTTACCCAGGGTCAGAGAGTTTATAAGAGATTAATGCTAGGACTGGGCACTTGAGTAACATTTTACCTCTGCTTTTGCAATCATCACATGGTAACTATGATAAACGGAAATACGAGAGTGCTAATTATCTGCCTTACTAGGGAATGTATTCAATTATACATTAATTCATCTCTGTATTCCTCTAACAAACAAGGTACCCCCAACAAATTAAGAATTAGTTCACAAAATATATATACAAATAATTTTTTAAAAAGATTTTATTTATTTATTTGAGAGAGAGAGAGAGCATGGGAGGAGGGAGGATCAGAAGGAGAAGCAGACTCCCCGCTGAGCAGGGAGCCGGATGTGGGACTCGATCCTGGGACTCAAGGATCATGACCTGAGCTGAAGGCAGTCGCCCAACTAACTGAGCCACATAGGCACCCCAATATACAAATAATTTTTAAGGAACATTCCGCTTCTTTTTATAGCAGGGTGATTTTTACCCTATGTAAAACCCTCAAGAAACTTGACTTAAAAAAATAGACAACTGGGACGCCTGGGTGGTTCAGTCGGTTAAGCGTCTGCCTTTGGCTCAGGTCATGATCCCAGAACCTAGGATTGAGACCCACATCAGGCTCTTCGCTCAGCGGGGAGCCTGCTTCTCTTTCTGCCTGTTGCTCTCCCTGCTTATGCTCTCTCTCCCTCTCTCTCTGACAAATAAATAAAATCTTAAAAAAAATAGAGAACTAAAAAATATGTATAGGGAACTAAAAATGCTGAGGGTTACGTTATAAAACATATAAAGGATCACAGCAGAAATAGACAAAGAGAAAGATCCCAGGCCAAGAGAATAGACATTGACTTCATTCATTCATCATTCAACACATTATTTCTTAGTATTTTATATGTGTCAGACACTGTTCTAGGCACTAGGGATACTGCAACAAATAAGACAAGCAAGGTCCTAGTTCTCATGGAGGGGAAAGGCAATAAAGAAAAAACTCATTCTGGAGAAGGATATTTAATGTTGTGGAGATACGTTCATACCTTATCAAACTAGAAATGGTATGTATAGGAAGCAAATTACTATAAAATAAATATATATGTATTATTTTATTATTAACGTATATTTTTAGATCTATTATACAACATAGAATATTGTATATAACACACACACATATACCTAAGACTAAGTGGATATTTACTATAATTAAGGTTTACTTCTGGGTAGTGAAATTACGAGTTGCTTATTTCTTTCTCTCTTTTTTTTTTTAAGATTTTATTTATTTATTTGACAGAGAGACACACAGCGAGAGAGTGAACACAAGCAGGAGGAGTGGGAGAGGGAGAAGCAGGCTTCCCACCGAGCAGGGAGCCTGATGCCGGCCTCGATCCCAGGACCCTGGGATCATGACCTGAGCCAAAGGCAGACGCCTAACGACTGAGTCACCCAGGCTCCCCTGCTTATTTATTTCTTGTGGTTTTTCTATACTTTCCAAATTCTTAATAAGTATGCATTACTTATACCATCAGAAAACAATACTAACAGACACATGTACATGTGTCTATTGGTAGGTACACAGATGTCTAGAAGGATGTATACCAAACATTACTAACTCTTGGTAACAGAATATGGGGTGATTTTTACTTTTTCACTGCATTTTTCTGTATTATGTAAATTTTATATAATATGTAAAATGACTTCTGTTTTTCAAAAATAATGAGCATGAGTTTTGGAGTAGAAGATATGGTATCTTATTTTGATCAGATTTTAGTAACAAGAAGTAGAAAAATCTACCATTCAGATACTTTAGAGCTTCAAGGTCTGTTTACTTTTGATTTTGTAGAAAAATGTTTCCCTTACCTTTTAACAAATTAATCTTCCTGGTAATGTAAACCTTCTAATTCAACAGGAAAAGACCACGTACTCATTTATAAGAAGAGTTGGTAAAGACCAAGCAAGAGTTGGTAAACATTTATGGGGATGATATCTCATGGTATCCCTATCTATAAACTTTGAACAGCAGCTTTAGAGAATTATCAATAATTATTTCCAGGGGCACCTGGGTGGCTCAGCTGGCTAAGCATCTGCCTTAGGCTCAGGTCATGATCCCAGCCCCTCATCTCATTGGGCTCCCTGCTCAGCAGGGAGTCTGCTTCTCCCTCTCCCTCTGCCCTTCCCCCCAGCCTGTTCTCTTTCTCTCTCTCAAATAAATAAAAAAAATCTTTTTTAAAAAAATAATTATATCCAAAGCAGACCCAAGAGATCAAGAAAGCAGAAATGTTCCCTCTGAGGGCCAGATTCTCATCCCAGATAAATTTCAGTATGTTGAAGAGATACTTTTATTCCTGATCTGAGGATTCTTACAACTTGTGGAGATTTCTGCCAAAAATGAAGACATTAAGTAGGAATTCACTGCTGTCTCTGTCCGAACCAAACTAAAAAAAAATTTTTTTTTTGTAAAGAATTGTCTTACCTTTTTTCCACCTCTAAAAGAAAATTTTCACTGTTGCCCAACTGACTAAAATGCAGCTTGGCAGCTTTTCTCTCACTTTCTCGCACAGCTCGGTCATCTGGAGGCAAAAACCGAGGTCTGAGCATGTTTCTTTTTTGGAGTAAACAGTAGTGGGTCAGAAAACCATATTCACAGAGTAAAAACTAAAGATCAGTCTCATATTCTTTTGTTAGAGACAGGTCACAAACTAATGCTATTATGTTGTCACTGGAGCAAGTAGTAACTCAGGGAGATGACAGGGATACCATAGCAACAACTACCACATAGGTGTAACTACCCCTGCAGGAAAGTAGAGTTTAGGCAGCAAACAATCCAAATGGCCTAGTATTCTGCTGAAAGTTACACTGTTTCTGAAAGAAATTAGTTTCCCCACAATAACTTTCCCAGGGCAAATCCAAGTTTGTATCAATAAGAAATGTATACTCAACAATAAAATTATAAAGAAATACAGACTAGCTCATTTGAAGGGATATTTATTGTTCCTTGCCAACTAAGCCCCCAAGGTGGTTGTATTCATTTTCTATTGCTAATATAGTTGTAAATTTGGGGCACCTTGAAAAATAAATCTCAACCTGGAAAACCTTTGTTGGTGAGGAAGTGGTGGTGAAACCATCAACTGAAGAAAACTAAAGCTGGAAGTAACTGATAAAATCATAGATTGTCATTCAATAAAAAAAGGACTCGTCATACATCCTGCCAACACAAAAGAATTACATAAATATTGACTAATAAACAAATATATCCTGCCAGTGCACACTGTGGGCCAACACCCAAAGGTTAGGAGGCAGCTCGTTTAATGTAAAGTCTAGGGCAAGGAACAGGGGAGGAGGGTCTCACCCAGTTTCTCCAGAGTTTGTAGCGTGTACACGGCAAAGAGCCTATAATCTGTATCTTTCCTGACAACAGGATTGAGTCTCAAATCTAGTTCTTTGAGGAAGGGTAAAGGCTGTAGGCGGGACACCTCCACTAATGAAGGAATGTTGTTATAATATAAATTCAGGTCTTGGAGTGAACATAAGTACTGGATGCCCTGCAAGGAAAAGACCACATTATGAAACTGCACATAGGTAAGGACTAGGAATCTCACAGATAAAGGTGGAAATATATCTATTACTTCCATCCTTAAACATGTTACCTTAGTCACCCATGAGAAAGGCAGGGTTGAAACTCTTACTTAGGGGCGCCTGGGTGGCTCAGTCGTTAAGCGTTTGCCTTAGGCTCAGGTCATGATCCCAGGGTCCAGGGATCGAGCCCCGCATCGGGCTCCCTGCTCAGCGGGAAGCCTGCTTCTCCCTCTCCCACTCCCCCTGCTTGTGTTCCCTCTCTGTGTCTCTCTCTGTCAAATAAATAAAATCTTAAAAAAAAAAAAAAAAAAAGAAACTCTTACTTAGATGCCTGAGAATAAGAACAATGCAGGCGATAGGCACTGGATGTCCTATATATTAAATAATCCATAGATATCATACATTTCCTCCTTACAAAATCTGACATGGAAATATCTGCAGTCAATTCTCTACTTCTGTTGCTCCCCAATCACCCTCCCTTCCAGTGGCTAGGCCACGTCCCTTTTGCCCTTCTCTCACCCTTGCCACATCCACTCTCCTGACCCAAGATACACCTCAATTTTCAAGAGGATAGGAGGTAGGCAAAAGACAGTTCTGAGGAAGAAGGGTATAATTAAAAAAAAAAAAATAGGTGTGTGTATGTTTTGTGTTCTTTTATCTCAATGCCTCACATTTAGGATAAATTGAGTATATGGGAAAACGACACAACACCATATCTAAGTCTTCCCTCTTGGAACAGTCTGGAACCATTCTTGTCCTTGTTTCTTTCAGAATTACCCCACCCCTCTGTTTCTCTGGGATACTGGAGAGGAAAAGCCACAGTATGCCTCCTTTGCTGAAATCTACTATTGAAAACAATTGTTTAATTTTCACGTATTTGTCTAGTTAGCTGCTTTTGTCCAAATTAAATTTCAGGACAATAATTCAAAACATGTACATATATGTACAATCATATCCTTTTCGTAGTAAAAATGCTTACCATAGAAGGAACTTTGTCATTGAGGGTAATTTCAGTAAAATGATTTTCCATCATGTATTTACAAAATAAGGTTTTTTTTTATTCTTCTGTCATTCAAAATTACCATTCTCTTGTTGCAGAAAATTTAGAAAACTCAGAGATATACACAAAGCATTTCTGAATAGAGAACCCTGTTTACACTTTGATTCATTTCTTTCTGGCTTTTTTCAATTCCATTAACTTCTACATTGTGAAAGGGTTAGCAGTTAGGAATGGTCTTCAGTGACTTTGGCCCCACTCTCAGGGCAGTACACCATTAGGACTCTCTTTAAATGTGTCTAATGGCCCAGCTCAAGTAATCTTTTCATGTCTCTCAGTGTAAAAGTCAAGGAAATGACTTCTGTCTTCCTCTCACTTTTCCCACTTGGCATGAATTCACGTATTCCCCAAAGTTATACTAGAAATAATCACAAAACATTTATCCCCTGAGAAAATTAAGTAAAAAGATTCAGAACTGCTAGAGATGAACATATGCAGATAAATCAGAGATGCAAAAAAATGGAGAAAACATTTACTAAGTGCTTCCTATATATGCCAGTGTACGCATGCTAATCTTCACAATAGTTTTTTGCCCAATTTACAGAAGTAGAAAGAAAGCGAGTATATAAACAAATTATGGCAATGTCCACTCAATTTTTTAACTTGAAAATTAACAAGCAAGCAAACATACATACATGTGAAAAGAGGAGACCTAAGCAACTGTAAACTAATGCTTTCTGAAACTGATGGGTCAAATATAAATGGCTGCTACCAAATAGTCTAATGACCTAGTTTAACTTGCAGCTTCTGCTTTTAGAGTCCTAGCTGGAAATCTTGCTTGAACTTCTCTTTTAGGGTCCTTTGTTTTAGACTTGGGTCTGGCTTGTCTTGTTGAACAAGTATTCCCTTAAAAGCACAAAACTGGCAGCGTAATCCAGGAGATCATTAACTAATCCTGAATAGCATTTGTGAGTCTTTCACCTTGAGTCTTGCAAAGAAGGGCTTAATCAAGACAGGCACATAAGGGTAAAATGGGAACACATGGAGGAAATACCGTTTGGGGGTCTACCACAAAGAAAACAAAACTTCCACCTCTGTGTGTACACACTTATGTTTGTAGAGCTCTTTGTGTATTTGCTAATCCTCACACTGCTCAAGCCTGCTCCTGCCCACCTTCCTGTCTTGCCCTCTGCTCTACCATCTAGACATTTTTCTCTGTGTTCAAGGCCACCATTTCCTCCTCCTCCTTGAAAAAACCCACAGTAGTAATCTAAACCAGTGTTTCTTACTATATACCAACATCATCAGAATCCCCTGGGTATATCCTGAGCCCACTCAGACCGACTAACTCAGAATCTCTCTCAGAGTAGCAACTAAGAATATGTACTTTCACAAGTGCTCCTTGTAATTTTTTACACACATAAAAACTTTGTCCTGTTGCCTTAGATCGTTTAATATAATTTTAGCTGAGTACAAAAAAAAATTTCCCCAACATTTTATATCAGAAAATTTCAAACAGAGAATAAACCTGAATGAGTTTTACAGCGAATAATAAAATTTAGTTTGGAAACACTTAAAAGGAAGATCCTATATTCCCCAGGCTGACATTATCTATCTCTTATTTCTTCCCATTAAAACTACTACTACTACTACCACCACCACCACCACCACCACCACCACCAAAATAAATTGGGCTGAACTGACTAGTCATAGAATATAGAACTTACCTTCAGGCTTGTGATCAAATTTCTTGATAAATCTAAGGATCGGAGGTTTTTAAAATTTCTGAAGGCATCACCAATGGAATGAATTTTTCCAGCATAAGATCCCTGCAATGAAAGAGACTCCACCAATTCTGAAAAGAGATCACCAGTAGATATATTATGAACCCTGCTTAAAAACAGAGTCAGTGAAAATAGGTCTTCCTTCCTCCCATAATCCATTTGTGAAAGGCCCTACATCCAAGGTCCATAGATCAGATTTTCCTTTTAAAAGCAGTGATACCACCTAATACAGTGAAACCAAACCTTGGTTTTATAGCACCCTTGTGTTTCTCTATTCACCCTGAAGGATGTAATAAAAGTCTCCAAAAGTTCTCAAAACAAATTTAAAAAGAAATGTAGCAATCCCACTGCTAGGATTTAGCCCTATAGATTATACTAAAAAAAATTTGCCAGGATATATAATAAATACATGTGGGTATAAACTGCAGAAAGGTTTTAGGATAGTTTAAAAAAAGAGAAAGAAAAAAAGAAAGAAAATAATCACAGGGTCTATCAGCAGAAGAGTAGAACTTGAGGTCCTAAATAACAGTAGATGGATACAATGGACAAAGTGCTAGATCTGTGACTTTCTACAAGTCACCTTCTCTCTCTGTACTTCAGATTCCTTATCTGTAAAATGGGGATAATAACAGTATTTAACTCATAAGATGTTGTAATGATTAAATGAATATATATACAAAACTTAGAACAGTACTTATACATGATAATTACTATATATGTGTTATTGTTATGCAGTTATCAAAAAGAATGAGGTAGACTTGTAGATGATCATATGGAAAGATCTCCATGAAAGTGAGGGAAAAGCACATTTGTGTGTATGTTTTAAAGAATATATATACATATATATTTATATAATATACTCATATATATGGAAGAAAGTCAACTAGACTTCTAATAGCACTAAAAAGAGGAGAATCTCAAAATTGTCAATAGGAACTCACTGGCAAGTGTGGTGGGCTAAATACAATAGCAATCAAAACTGGAAGGAGGTTCTGCAAGATCCAATTTGCAGGTGAGTGCTAAGGAACTGCAATGAAATAAGGTTTAAGGTGCTAAAGCAGTCTGGACCCTATAAACTCTGAAAAGTAATAAACTGAAGTTGGCTTTCAAGATAAGACCCACATCAGGGAGAAATTACTGGGAGGAGAATCCACATTGAATGGAACAGAAACAACAAGTTCAAAAAAAAAGAGAAGGTCCAGATAGAAGTGGGGAGAGAAGCAAAGATGACAGATATCAGGAAGCCTAAAGTTTCTTTCTTTTTTTTTTTTTTTCACTTTGTGAACAGAAGAGGGAGCTCCAAAACCCTGAAACTAGAAAAGCTATTCTGGCCCACCCTGATCGGGTAAAGGTATAGGAAAACTTACTGCACTTAAAGAGCCACAGGAAAGGATTACAGTCCAATTTTATATGAGGTTAATAAAAGAAAAAATAGAGTACTACCCCTAAAGAATGAAAGCACTCCAGAAAGATATATCACAAATGAAAATTGTAACTTAATATTTCAAAACAAGCTAAAAGATACACAAACAAAATGTAGCAGTTTTCAAAGTGTGATTCTTCGACCCCTGAAGGACCCTGAGACATGTACAGGGGTCCACAAAATCAAAACTATTTTTAAAAAATTACTTTCATAATAATATTAAAATACTGGGTGCCTGGATGGCTCAGTTGGTTAAGCTACTGCCTTCGGCTCAGGTCATGATCCTGGAGTCCTAGGATGGAGTCGGGCATCAGGCTCCCTTCTCAGCAGGGAGTCTGCTTCTCCCTCTGACCCTCCCCCCTCTCATGCTCTCTCTCTCATTCTCTCTCTCAAATAAATAAAATCTTTTTAAAAAGATTTTATTTATTTATTTGACAGAGAGACAGTGAGAGAGGGAACACAAGCAGTGGGAGTGGGAGAGGGAGAAGCAGGTTTCCCACGGAGCAGGGAGCCCCGTATGGGCCTCGATCGCAGGACCCTGGGATCACCTGAGCCGAAGACAGATGCTTAACAACTGAGCCACCCAGGCGCCCAATAAATAAAATCTTTAAAAAAATATTAGCTTTTCCACTGTTGCAATTATGGTTTAAAAGCAAAACTACTGGGGCCTTAGGATGACTCAAGGAACACTCATAGTCACAGAGTTTTTTTTTTTTTTTTTAAAGATTTTATTCATTTAACAGAGAGACACAGCGAGAGAGGGAACACAAGCAGCGGGAGTGGGAGAGGGAGAAGCAGGATCCCCACTGAGCAGAGAGCCCAATGTGGGGCTCGATCCCAGGACCCTCACATCATGACCTGAGCCGAAGGCAGACGCTTAACAACTGAGCCACCCAGGCACCCAGTCATAGTATTCTTTACCATCACATACCCGCAATTTTTTTTTTTTAAAGATTTTATTTATTTATTTGAGAGCAGAGAATGAGAGATAGAGAGCACGAGAGGGAAGAGGGTCAGAGGGAGAAGCAGACTCCCTGCCGAGCAGGGAGCCCGATGCGGGACTCGATCCTGGGACTCCAGGATCATGACCTGAGCCGAAGGCAGTCGCTCAACCAACTGAGCCACCCAGGTGCCACATACCTGCAATTTTTAAAAATAGCCAGTTTCACTTAAGAATGTCCTTTAAAAAGCAGTAAAAATGGTTAATTTTATTAATTTTGAAACTTGAGCACGTTTTTTATTTGTGTGACTAAATGAGAAATATTCATGAAGTACTTCTGCTGCATAATGAAGTATGGTGGATGCCCTGAGGGAAAACATTTGTGTGAAATTTTTTTGAAGATTTATTTATTTTAGAGAGAGAAAATGCACGCAGAGGGGAGGGGCAGAGGGAGAGGGGGAGAGAGAGAGAGAGAGAGAGAAAGAGACAAAGAATCTCAAGCTGAGATTGAGCACGGAGTTGAGCACAGAGCCAACGGGGCTCTATCTCACAACCTGTGATCATGACCTGAGCTGAAGGCAGACGCTTAACTGACTGAGCCACCCAGGCACCCTGAGATTGATGACATTAACAAATGAAATTTTTATTTTATATGTTATACAGAATGACATTTCTCAGCATTTGAAAGACATACATAACTCAGTGAATTAATAGCTCTCAAATGACCGATGCACAAAATCATGCATGGGTAAAAGATCCATTTAAATGCAAGATGTACCAATGGATTTCAAATGCAACAGAGTACAAAAAGTACGCTGATATAGTTTCAGATTCCACACACAACTAAACTTTAAGAAACTACCATTTGTCCAGTTTTCATGTCATATCAAAGAAGAATATCCACAATTCTCTGCAAGGCTATTAAAATACTTCCCTCTTTTTGAACCTCTTATCTGTGTGAGGCATCATTTTTATTTTTTTAAAGATTTTATTTATTTGAGAGAGCGAGAATGAGAGAGAGAGAGAACACATGAGAGGGAGGAGGGACAGAGGGAGAAGAAGACTCCCCGCTGAGCTGGGAGCCCAATGCAGGACTCTGTCCCCGGACTCCAGGATCATGACCTGAGCCAAAGGCAGTCGCTTAACCAACTGAGCCACCCAGGCGCCCCATTTCTAAAAAATATATTTCAACCAGGGGTGCTTGGGTGGCTCAGTTGGTTAAGCGACTGCCTTCGGCTCAGGTTGTGATCCCAGGGTCCTGGGATCGAGCCCTGCATCGGGCTCCCTGATCAGTGGAGAACCAGCTTGTTCCTCTCCCTCTGCTGCTCCCCACTCATCGGGTTCTCTCTCTGACAAATAAGTAAAATCTTTAATATATATATTAATATATAATAAATATATATAATATATATTTTTCAACCAATACATTTCTTGAGATTTAATACAGAAGCAGATATGAGACTCTAGAGGTCTCCAATTAAGACATTAAAGTTATTTTTAAGAATATAAAATGTCACTGCTATATTTTTTAAATATTCTGAAACCAAAAAGTTTGAAAATTGCTGAAAAATGTAAATTAGAATTAGAAAAATTCAGAAAAATTATAAGAAAAGGAAGATTTGAAAATAAAGACAGAACTCAAAAAAAAGGTCATTTGAAAAATGAGGATCAGGGGCACCTATGTGGCTCTAGGGGTGCCTGGGACAGCTTGGCAGTGTCTTATAAAACTAGACATAGCTTACCAGATGATCTAGCAATCATGTGCCTTGATACTTGCCCAAGTGAGGTGAAAGTTTATGTCCACCCAGAAACCTCTGTATTTGTAGCACCTATACCTGTACAGAGAGGCTTATATGTATAAACCTGAATGTTTATAGCAGTTTTACTTATAACTGCCAAAACTTAGAAGCAACCAAGATGCTCTTCAATAAGTAAATGGATGGATTAACTATGGTACCTCAACACGGTGGATAAAAAGCAATAAAAAGAAATGAGCTATCAATTGAGCTACGGAAAGACATGGAGGAATCTTTTTTTTTTTTTAAAGATTTTTTATTTATTTATTTGAGAGAGAGAGAATGAGAGACAGAAAGCATGAGAGTGAAGAGGGTCAGAGGGAGAAGCAGACTCCCCGCCGAGCAGGGAGCCCGATGCGGGACTCGATCCCGGGACTCCAGGATCATGACCTGAGCTGAAGGCAGTTGCTTAACCAACTGAGCCACCCAGGCGCCCCAAGACATGGAGGAATCTTAAATACATATGGCTAAGTGAAAGTAGCCAGTCTGAAAAGGTTATACTTATACGGTTCCAACTATATGACATTGTGAAAAAGGCAACAGTAAACAGATCACTGATGTACAGCATGGCCACTATTTAATAATACTGTATTGCATATTTGAAAGTTACTAAGTAGATCTTAAATGTTCTCTGTTCTCATCACAAGAAAATACATTTCTTTGTAACTATGTAATGTGACAAATGTTAACTAGATTTATTGTATGTATACATGTCATGATGTATACAAATATCAAATCATTATGTTGTATATCTGAAACGAATATGTTGTATGTCATTTATATTTTTAATTAAAAG